GGAGCCAATAAAAAAAGATTGAAAGAAGATCCAAGTCAAATCCTAGAAGTAGTTGCGAAATTAGATAATTGGCTAAAGGTATAGTGCGTTTGCATGAGAAGATCAACTTGCTAGATGATGCAAAAAAGGGGAAAGAATTAGGACCCCAATTGCTGGAGCTTCAAGTTCACAGGCCACTGTGTCTTATTCAAGAACGTCATTTAGGTCAACGTCTCAGTCAAGATATGGAAAGTTCATTGAGAACAAGTCTAAGAATGAATTCAGACAATTTGGTAATTATAAGGAAGACAAGTGGATTCATCCTAAGGGCTATACAACGGATAATTTTCCTCCCAATGTTAAAGGTACTCTTAAGAGAAAAAGATACTGAATAAACTGGATGAACCAGCAGATAAGAGACCAACATAAAAGAGAAGAGCAAGCTAAAGTTGAAAAGGTTGCCAGAGATGTTCAAACTTCAAAGAGAGCTCAAGGCTCTAAGAAAGACATAAGACACTGACCAACATCTTAGCAAGATATTATTCAACATCATTAAAGATAGTGATATAAATCTGACTGATGGGAGAAACTTAGGAGAATGTATCACTTAGTAGAAATGTGGGGTAATTGATTGAGAAAATATGTACAAAGAATTCCAAAATTATCTTCAATATTAGGAACAAATGTAATTTAGATTTTGATGATACCAAAATTTAGAAAATTTTAGTCCCTAAACTTGTTTTATTTCTTAGACTTAGGATCTCTTTCATTCGCTTTGAATAATTTGAATAGTAACACGAGCAGTTACATCTCAGATAGTTAGAAGACAAAGCTTCGAAGAGTTTAAGACCATAAGAGTTTGAAAATCGAAGAGTTCAAGACCTAAAGGTTGCAAAGGCCGAATAGTGGAAGGCTTTGCCTTTCTAGTAGAAGAGGATTATAAGAAGGAGTTCGAGTAGTAAAGACAACTATTCGAAACCGAAAGGTTATGAGTGTTAAGGTTCGAAGGATTAACTTGAATGGTAAGAGTTAACTGTTTGAAAGGACTGCTCGAGACATTTTTTGAGCAAATAGTTCGAAACCTTAAAACACAAGTGTTTTATGAGAAAATGTGATCAAGACAAAAGGAGTCCTAATTACACATCTCTAGGAAGATTTTCCTTAAAAAGCCTAGACAAGAGGTGCAGAACATAAGTAAAGTTCAACTAAAAAAGTGATCTAATAGTTGGAAAATCAGACACATAAAGTATCCTTTCGAAATATTTGATGGTCATTACTTGATGGTTAAAAGACATTTGGAATGAGTTTCCCTCCAACCGATTCATTTCAAATTAAAATGCTCCAACGGATTCATTTCAAAACGCCTATAAATACCTTCATTCAAAACTGAAGAAGGAGCTAGTCAATTAAGAGAAAATATTCAAGTGATTCAAAAGCTTTCAAGTTCCATTTCTGTGACCCGTGTGAGAGAGTTAAATCTTAAACAAAATAATCCAGAATAAAAGCTTGTGTTGCTCTAGTGAAGATCAAGTTCAACATCAAAGAGCCAAGTCTTTTAGTTGGAGAATCAAAGAAATGTTTTCTTTGCCAACTTGTATCACTACTCGGTAGAAGTAGAAAGAGGCGGAGTAAACTCGTATGGAGTTGAAAAACTTAAGAAACTCAAGGCCGGCTTGGTGTTCTTTAGGTATTAGTGCAAACCTCCTTAAGAGTTTAAAGGAGAAGAGTAGAGTAGGCTAAGTTGACCGAACCACTATAAAAACTGTCTCTCTCTATTTTTTTACTTTACTGCATTCATATCCTCGCTCAAAACTATTAATATTTCAAAAGAGCAAACATTACGTGTAAAATTATCTGAAGGAATAAAAACAATTTTCCGTTGTGCGTACTCAAGAAAAAGGTTATCTGTGAAGAAGTAACCCTTCAGATCTGCTTAATCAATTAGTTAAAATTTTCAAAACTTATACATGTCTATTCATCCCCTCCCCCTTCCTCTAGACTTGTAACCCCCTTCCTACCGAGACAAACATTCAATTTACCCTAACTTCTCATTTTCAAAGGTTCATTGGTGACACTATCCGAACAACAAAGCAAAACGTTAATGAAGAATTGGATAGAGCTCAATAAGTTGTGAGGAGGTAATTGGAAGAAAACAAGAAGAAAGCAGAAGACGAGCGTAAATTTTAGTAAAGTGTAATGTTTATTTAATTCTTTGCTTTCTTAATTATTGAATGAATGATGTAATTATAATATTTTGTGATGGTAGTGAAAATTACTTATCTTTTTACATACAATTTAATTATTTAACTGTATTAGGAATTTTGATATTTGTCAAACTCAAATTATGTGCTGAAAATCAAAATTGATTAAGTTAAATTTTCAAATTAGCCATAAAAATGAATATATGTTTTGGCATTACAAAAAATGGAGAAATTGTTAGGAACAAGTGTTAGCTAGATTTTGATTATATCAAACTCAGTTAAAAAATTGAAGTCCCCAACATTTTTATTTTTCTAGACTTAGGAAATTTTTTATGTAAATCCGAAATGTCAACTTTAAGAACGAACTTTACCAATCGAAAAATAAAACTTAATCCGAAAAGTAAACCACCTTAGGATAGTTAGGTTCAAAAAGGTTGCAAATAGTAATCTTTGCAAAATCATCTTCGAAAAGTCTCATTTCAAAAGTTTGAAGTTTCGAAAAGTTTAAGACCGGAAATCGGAAAACTGAAGAGTAAAAAACTTGAAAATTCGAAGAGTTGAAGACCAGAAGGTTAAATAGTCGAAAAGTGGATGGGTCAGCATTGACCAGAAAGCTACAATAGACCAGAAAGTTAAGATTATTGAATAGTTAATCTACACCCAAAAGTAATAGGATTGACTTTTCGCAAAGTTACATCCAAAAGGTTGCTCACGGTTGAAGCGAAAAGTGACATCTTCGAAAAGTAAAATGACACTATGTATGATAATAAGAATGATCAATAGCAAGATAGTGAACAACTTCAACTGAACATTTATCAAGAAGAATGTTGCCCAGGAAGTTCAAGTCTTAGGTACATATTCCAATATAAATTTTAATAAAAAGTCAAAACAAAGTGGACAACGCTGAAAGCCACATTTTTAGGAGAAAGACAAAAACAACGACCAAAAATATGACAAAAGCAACCACTATTTGAAGAACCATTAGTCATTGCACGAAGGATAAAAGACTATTTGAATTTTGTTCCTTCCCGTGAACAAATTCATGTGTCTATAATACCTCTATTCAAATCTGAATGAGGTGCTGGTCAATTTCGAGAAAAGTTTACAAGTGTTCAAGCAATTCAAAAGCAGACCAGTGAGAGAGAAAAGACTCAAAATAGTTGGAGTGAACAATCTTGTGTTATACTATGTAAAGTAAATAGAGGCAGAGTAACAAGAGTTGTCTTGTAAAAACCTAAGACTTGTGGCCAGCTTTGTGATCAAGGCACAAGTGCTCTCTATTGTACTAAGGAGATAGTACAATCCTCCCAAAAGTTATATAGGAGAAGAGTGGAGTATGTTGTGTTAAGTCGAACTGCTATAAAATGACGATTTTAGTCCATTAATTATACATATATTGTAGATATGCTCCATTAATTATTACCATATACATATTTTCCACTTTAATTATGTGTATAGTGACAGTTTTAATTCATTACTAACAAATTCTATTAAAATTAACATTGCACTTCACATTGTCAAATTATTGAAAGACATATTAGTCGTTTCATAGAGTTTTTTAAAATTCCATCAACTAAATCTTCATATATATATATATATATATATATATATATATATATATATATATATCGATTCTCTTCATTTGTAATGAGGAATTGCTAGTTTTCTAAGATTTAACATGTATCTACTTATTTTTAGCTTCAAAGTTAAATGTCAATTTACTGGTCAGAAAATGAATTTATCTTTCAAGTTAATTCCATTTTTGGTCATAGATTTATCGGTGGCAGTCTACTTTTAGTCATTTTTTATCAAAACATCCACATTTGGTAATAGTATTGTCGTGTCATGACCATTTTTGGTCTTTCGTCAACAAAATCGTTAAAATGTCGTTAAATACAAAGACATTTCGATCATTTTTATACAAAGTGAGTTGACCCTACTATATTTTTTATGTTTTTTTTTTTTAAAAAAAAATCTGTAATTGAAGACCAAAATACATTTATATTTAGCTTCATTAAAAATGTTTTGTTGATAGAGAACAAAAAATGGTCATGCCAAAATAATACTAGGACCAAATGTGAATGTTCTGATAAAAATAACTAAAAATGGACTGTCACCGATAAATCTAGGACCAAAATAATTAACTCTTATCTTTCTAAATAATCAAGATAATATTTATATGCTTGGTTTCATATTTATATAGTAGTATAATATATGACAAGTATGTCTTAATTGTAATGTTTTTGTTTCTTGCATAGATTTTTGGAGGGCATTGAAGCAAAATGGATGCTCAAATAACATGCAGGGATTTTTTTAATTAAATTATAATATGTATATTCATATCAAATTTTTATATTAACATTTCTTTATGTGAGCTAACTATTCCATAACTTTTTTTTTATATTTATTTATTTATTGAAAGTGCTTATAGATTGAAGACTCCCTCCAACTTATTAACATGAAAACGACAACATACTTAAATTCTTAATATTTATTTCAACTAATAATATTTAGTAAACTTAGAAACCAAAACAATTTTAAAGTTTTAACTACACTCGAATGACAAAAGAAAATGTGTCCACAATTAATTAATTATTTAATATAAATTGATATGAATAAAAATGACCAAAGTGTCCCACAATAATTTGTTAAAATGCATTATTAATATTAACATAATTTGTTAATAGTGGACTAAAAATGCTACTTTACACATAATTAAAGGGAAAAAAAAATTATGTATGATAATAATTTATGAATCGAGTCTAAAATATGAGTATAATTAATGAACTAAAATCACCATTTTTCCAATTTGTGACGGTATAAAAGAAGGCAAATCCATTCCATTTTCAGCATGTTCATTGTTCACCCTCTCTCCCAAACAAGGTAATAGTGTTTCAAAACATTATATAATGATGAAACGGATATAAACATGTTAGAAGATATAACAAAGCAAAGGTTCAAGCTATAGCCCGGATCTTAAAGGAACACTACTACTAATACAACAGGTTTTGCTCGGCGCAAGAGAAAACTATGAACTCACAATGCAGAAGAAGGGTGACTATGGAAGAGGCAAAAGGTTTCAGAGGGAGAATTACAGTAAAACCTAGAGTTGGAATGTTAAAACTCTACATACACAGCTTAACAAATGTTAGTTTCTAGTCATCACCTGACAGAAATGTGTTGGGATTGAAACACTCCACCATGCAGTCAGTCTTGTGCTTTTCTTAGCAGGTAGAGGTAGCAATTATGCAAGCATGGATTCCTGGTAAAGTTCTTCAACTGCACAATATATCAATCGAGTTGATCTCCATCACCTTAATCATTTTAAGATATTTATTAAAATTAGATATTAGAACCAACGTAGATAGTTGCATATACTGGTCCTTGACCACATCCACATTCATCATTGCAATATATATATGCTCTAGGCCTCTAGCCACAGTGAATTCCAGTTCTGATGTGCCTCACAAGTCACAACAGAACTTTAACCAGCATTCTAGTTTTTTGCTTTGGAATCATGCTGACCGTTTATTACAACAAGAGACCAGTCACGTTATGGGGGTGTTTGGCAAATAACTATTAGCTGATAGTTAATTACATGCAAAATGACTCTTAAGGGTATAATTTATTTTTCTCAAAAAGCTTATCGCAAAAAGCTACTTTGAGCAACTTTTTGAATTTTAGCGTTTTGGAACAATAAGTTGTTACAAAAGCTGATTAACCAAACACTTATATTGGCTATTTAACCAAGTCAGACAGCTAATAGTGGTCAAACAAGTCAAAACTGGCTGATAAACTAACTATGTTACCAAACAGGGCCTATATGTTGGAGAAATCACACTGACATGGCATCTAATAACACATGCCAATAAACAAAAAATGAACCCTTTTTACCTAAATTCCAAGTTACAATCCAAAGGCTACCCTCTGCACATAATCTGGGCGCCTTTTGCTGGGTGCCCGAAGCAAACCTGCTATCTGCAGCTCAATTATGGCCCTGCAAAACCTTGCTCTATATTAAAGTCAAGGATGTAAAATGTTAATTAGGGAATGTTTCCAAGTGTCAATTCCAATCATAATTAGATCCACAACTAAATGCTATTTCCAACAGCAATTATCTTAAGCTTCAAAACTGCTACTCAGTATTTCTTCTCAAGTCCAAGACCAAAAGGATACTGTATTGATGCATCAGATTTGTTTTGAAGAACATTAGTAACTTTTCTCTTTTTGGGTGAACACAGCTGCTTTGATCGTTTCAGGCAAGAAACAGTTGCATTAAAAGACTGAAACCAATCATGAAGGTTGATGAGATCACCATGCTCTTGCGCCAGGGTATACCTATGACAGGAAAGGATTTAAATCTTCAAAAGAAATGCCAGTTGAGTTAAAAGCATAACATCATTATCACTGACTAAATGGGCAGCCAAGTTAAGATGAGGCTGTTATAGTTGAACAGCTAGAGAAAACAGTTTTTTTAAGAAAAATATGATGATTTCAAATCATACAGCAGTAGACTATGGCATGTAGAGCAATTTTATTTTAATTCTTTTGGGAGACCATGTTTATCTATATCTTACATGATTGAGGTATCATGCATGGATGGTGACAGCAAAACACCACCCTTGCTGCAGCAACTACACTTGAGTATTTTTTGGAACTCCAGAAGGTCACTTTGGATTCTTCTCCTGGGGTCACCTGTCAGAGCCTAATTTAAAATTGAATCAAACTCTCGGTCATCTAAGTGAAAAAGGTGTATTCAGTTTTCAAATAGTTGTAAACTACAACACCGTTTGTGCTAAAACAGAAATTGCAATGCAAAATGCAATGACTGGCCTAAAGATTAAACAAAATTCATTGAGAGCTACTGAAATCTGAATTTTTAAAGCCTAAGTCCTTGCTTGAACAACTTTATTCAACTTAACCTTCACCAATATCATAGAGGGGTGAAAGAACAAATGAAGTTTACAAGCTACAGAGACTGACAATACTACACTTTTTCCTATAGAACAAATACTGCCAGACAGGAAAGAAATTACTCTGCTATTTCTGCAGTAACCTGAACAGTCAAGTAATCAAAGTTTTGCGATGATACTTAACTGATTGAAGCTTATCAACATCCTTGAAGCAAACAATTTCATGAAATGGTATAGACTCAATTGGCTGCATGCATTCCCTGTTCCACAGGCAAATATTAAATCTATTGACTGTTTTAAACATGGAGAACAAGTAAACAACAATTGTCCTTAAAAAGAATATTCCAGTTATTAGTGATTATAATGGTCCTTTGTAACAATATTGTAATTCCTCTGATCAATTTACTGTGTGAAAGCAATAAGCCTTTACATGTTTCTTTTAAACATCACTAACTATTTATTTTTTCCAATTTACCCTTTATGCCTTTAGCTTTGTAGAATGATTTGACAAGGTGAGTCACATTTGATTTAGACTTATAAATACAAAAAATAGCTGGACAACCTTCGAAAGTAAATCTCATTTTATTTGTTGCCTTAAAACTCGTGTCAAACACAATTAGCCCTCATATTTTGGCATGGAGGGAGTATTTCTTAACACTTTTCATTTAACAAATTGTGCAAGCACACACATTCCCATTAATACAGTTAAAAGGTACAGACAAACATATGCATTTATATGAAATTTAGTTTGGCAAACCAAGCTGTGACTGAGCGAATGAAAACAGGTAGCTATACAAATTCTTTTGAAGACAGGAAATAATATACCGCTAGGATTTTGAATTTTCACTTTGCATCCAACTTCATACCTTGGTTAGACCAAGAACAAATTTGTAGGGTGATTACATGCCAGGCTAATAACATACTTAAATGTAGAAAAGTGAATCCCAATTTTGGGCAGAGTAATACTGTTAAATGGTAGAAGTTTGAGGACAGTAAAATATGGTCCCCTTACCTCATCATGTCATAAACCAAATTAGCAGCTTTCTCATTAAATATGTCCTCATCATTTGCACATTTTGCTCTGCCTCGTGATAAATGCCTCCTGTCACATAAACAAGAGATACAAGAATAATCAAGATCAAAAACTCATTTTTTTGGGGATTCAAAAGCATTGCCAGTAGAATAGTATTTGCCATTTCTAAGAATCAAACAAGTATTCAGTGGTTAACAGCATGCATGTTTCCTGATATATAAATGCCCTAGGCAGGCTCTGGATAGATAATGGAGCAAACTATTTCAAAATATTAGCAAAATTGTCAATTAATGTTGGGAGATTTTACAAACTTGTATCCAAAAAAAGTACATTGTACCCAGCCATACTAGCACGTTTCCATATCTAGAAAGACAAATCCATTCCAAATTCATCAGAAAATTTTAATTAATTGAGTTTTAAAATAGAGATGATGTCTCAAAAGGTTTATGTTTTGACAAGTTAAAAGGTAAAGTATCTAGCTCAACTAAACAAATATAGAAAAATATTCACCAAATCATATGAATAAACTGCATAAGAGGTCAGCAGTTACGAATGACATCTAGCAGGATTAACTAAATGACGCAATTAATAATTCAATATATAAGTCTCTTCCTCTAATATCCAAGTGCAGTTGATAAATGGTGCTGCTACAAGTTATACAATTCCTTCAAAAAAGTTGGTCAAATTAGACAGAAAAGTGGGACAGCTATTCAATAATGTCCCATGAAGAAAATATAAATAATTCATACATTCATACATACTTTGATAAATCTGTTAACTCTCCCTTTGAATGCCTGTTATCTGCATTTTGCACCATAGACTGTAGTTCCAATATTTTCTTGTGAACCTGGAAGAGTGAAACCAAGAAAAAAATGAATAGAAACCTTATATCTAGGAAGCTTTACTGTCAAAACATAAACTATTCTGCTGAAACCATGTTTATATTGAAAGATAGGGGGGGGGGGGGGGGGTGGGAGGGTCACCAAGTTTGAAAAAGCAAGAGCTTTTTGAAGTTGACATCCAAGTATAAGATAATATTTGTATATCTATGGTGTAAGCACTTACTGCTATATATAAGTGACTTCTGAAAATGATACAATTGTTCCTTTATATGTGGTAGAAAAAGTCATTCTATTATATTAGGTAGTCTGTCTCCCTAACATAATAATTGCTAAATATTGCTTCACAAAGGCATATAAAAGGGCAAAGGAGAACTTAAAGTGGGCTCTCAGCTAAAAAAGAATAACTTATGACAATACCTCATTGCCACCTTGAGCAAGCTTTTCCCAAGTTTTAAGCAACTGGCTCAACTTTGCAACTGGTAAATCCCTAATTAACAGAGGGCTCATATTAAAAAGAAGAGAAAAGAAACTCTAAGTTTTGCAGTAGCCTTTTGCTCAAACCTTAGCAATCAGAATTGAAGAGTTCAGATGCAAACTAATTCACCCTTTTACCTGTATGATTAACACTCTAACTATTCATCCATAAGATATATATTTTTTCTATAAATCATGTATCATTAATCACAGTTGTATCATCTTGGCCAAACCGAATTTATGGCACAATAAAATAAATAAAATATATTAAGCAAATACTATGCTTTAGCCACCTAATTATTCACCTCTCGCTTCTTCTAAAAGAATGCACATAAACAGCATAACAAATGCAGTGTCAAACATTACCAAATAACCAAATGATAAGAAACATAAACATGCAATAGGATTCAATCAAAGAATATTCAAAGAAAATGAATTGCTTTTAAGATTCTTCGATAAGTCCATCATCAGTTGACTACCTCACTTTAAGGATGACCTGGCCGATGAAAGTGCCCTTTTCTGAAGCTTGAAATAATCCCGATAAACTGTGATTACTTGCCAGCATGTTATTTGCCCTTTCTGGGTGATGGACAGAAAGCATGGTTTTGCATAACTCAGGACTGAGCAACTCCCAGTACAAATCTAGAAGTGTAACTTTACAATGCTTTCCAGCTTCATACAGACACTGCAAGACGTACCAGAGTAACGGTCAGGAGATAGAATTGCCTTTTATAACATGTCAACTAGCCAGCTTTTCATTCAATAGTTGAAAAGCTAAACCAGAAATGATGTGAGCAAGAACCAAACCATGATGCATCAGCAGCATTGTAAGAGGATGTTTAATAGTAAAAGAGACAATGCCTTGAAAACATTAGAACAGATGGTTACCTTAAAAATATAGTTATATGTATGCATATCTAATCAGAATATAAAAGCCTTGGGCTTCATTTTTCATTCCCTAGAGAAAACCAAAAAGCAGTAAAAATTATATTGATACTTTGCTGTTCACTTCATTATTCAAAAGACAGAGGTTTGTTTGCCAGCTTTTAGCAATATCAGCGGTTTTATGACTCAAAATAAGGAATTAGCATCATCAGACGTAATTCACTGATTCATTCACATAATGGCAGTAGCTTCAGAATGGTTGGCATGTCCAATTTACAAAGAAAAATTAATCATTCATTAATTTATTCTTCAATTGAACTTTAGTGACTAAGAAAGTGTAGCAATGATATTATAGACAACATATAAAAATTGTTAATACACATACACATAAATAGCACTGCTGTCAAACAAAAAGCTGTTTAGAGTTCTCAAGAAATTAAGGGGTTGTTTACCAAAGTGGAAAAATGGAGGATTTTCTGGAAAAACAGAAAATTGGAGAGGTAGAAAAAAGAAAAATGGAAAACTTGTTTACTAAATTTACTCCTCCAAATTCCTATTTCATCTCCATTCTCCACTTTTCTTAAGGATTTTGGAGAATTCATAAACAAAATTCTCTAAGTGGAGAAATGGAAAGACACGCGTGAACAGTGCACTACTTTGAGGTCGCAGGATCGAATCCTGCGCACAGCAACAAGACGCTCCCCTCTTTCTCTCTTGTTTGCGTTCCTGATCTCAAAGCTAGCTCCTTATTATTATTATTAATTATTAATTTATTATTATTATTATTATTATTATTATTATTATTATTATTATTATTATTATTATTATCATTATCATTATCATCATCATCTTTGTTGTAGAAATGTACAAAAACTATATGAGAGATTGTAATCAATGAGGTTTTGCGTATTTTGTTCGTAATCAAACTAAGCTCTAACATTAATGAATTAGATATAATTTATTTAGTAATATGTTTTTATTGACTTTTGTTACATTTTACACATTTAGTATTACTGTATTGAATTTATTTTTATTTAAAATTGAATTTGTAAAATGAAATCAGAAAATTGGAGAAATAGAAAACTGGAGAAATGGAGAATGAAAATTGAAAAACTGGAGAAATGGAGAATGAAAATTGAAAAACTGGAGAAATGGAAAACTGAAAAAGGAAAAATAGAGAATTGAAGTAAACGACCCCTAAGTGAGAAGAAATAATGCAATTTTCTTTTCCAGATCCAACTAATCTCAAGAAAATTGAACTTTTATGTAAAATGAAGTAAATAGCAATGGGAATATGGAAACAACAGTTCTGCAGACTTCATCTTAAAAAGAAATTGACCATGATTTTTAAAAATAAATAAAATTAAAGCTAATTAAGACCTCACCATAACCACAGATCCCCATAACTCATTTAGTCTCCGCAATTCCAACAACCCATTTGATAGACAATTAACATTTGATTCTTCCTGATTATTTCTGGAAAATTACAAACTATTTAGAACATATACCTAGAAAGCATCCATTTATACTGGTACGTAAGTTGCAAAACTAACCGATTTCCTGCATGTTTGCAGTAAGATGGTAGGTCAAAAGCCTGCTTGATCAATGCTTTTGAGAGATTAGCAAGATCCACACTGTATGACCCCTGCCACAATTGAGAAACACTTGAGATGGAGAATCTCAATGTCATGTTTAATTCTTCTCATGAAACAAACAATTGAATAACACAAAAAGAATTGCTGCAAGCATCAAAGGACGTTTTGAAACACAGATGCAGATTTAGATTGATTCCTAATATATAATCTATGAAGCTTGCTCCTGAAAGTCTGAAACTTATGATGAACACTAATTTTTGCAAACAAAACTTAAATAAGCAGAACCAAAAGGACTTGCAAGGGCCAGATAAGTGTTAAAACACATATGTTAATCTAGATTGACACCTAATAAATAACCTATGAAGCCTATCCCAGAAACTTTTGAACTATACTAATTTAGATAGAATGTCAAATTGACATATATGTTTTAAGTGAGTAATCTTGTCCTCAATGTCCTGTCACTTTTTGTCAATTTGTCCTACATTTATCTAATTTCATTCATTTCTCACATTTCATCCGTCTAAATAGAGACAAAAATCATATTTCAATCCTTTAGTGATTAAGCTCTTTTCACAAAAAAAAGAGCAGAAAGCCTAGCTTGCCACCATAGCAATTACCATCACCAGGTTGCAACCTCCATCAACTGCCAAATCTAAAACACGACAGCATCATCAAAGCCTTGCAGAAAACCGCTGCCATTACACCAAGGGGGCGTTTGGTTCAGGTCATCTTAGATTACCTAGGTAATCTGAGTCTGGTAATGTTATATTACCTTGTTTGGTTCAAGTTATAAGATTACCTGGTAATGTTATATTACCTGAAAGCTGATGTGGCGGTAATGTTTCAAGGTAATGTGATTACCCTCAATTTTTTAGGTAATCTTAGATTACCTTGAATTATTCCAACTTTGCCCTTGTTAACTAACCCTTATATAATAATAATAATAATAATAATAATAATAATAATAATAATAATAATAATGAAATTAATATATGTTTATATAATCAAATATATATGTGTATATTTATATATTTAATTTTTTTAATATTTAAGCATCGATATACATTCATACTTATAAATAAATACACACACACACACACACACACACATATATATATATATATATTATTGAGGACATTATTGTAAATTGATCCATATAACCTAAAATATAACCTTGAACCAAACAAGGTAATATTATATTACACTATCCAAACCAAACACACAAGGTAATCTTACATTCCCAACATCTCACATTACCTTCCTGGAGGTAATCCTATTACCTGGGGTAATCCAAGATTCCGTGAACCAAACGCCCCCCAATAGTTAATGTTGGAGCATGGAAGCCATGTAATGACCCTGACAGCCAAGCCATTCGAGGATATGGATGTCTGTCAGTGGTACTACACTCACATCTATTGTACCACTACTATGCTATGAGCTACCAAACTTATATACAGACAGCAAACTATGGGATATGTGTGCCTGTTTGTTGATCATCACTAGAACTGTGGCTCATTGATTTTCCAATGCTTCAATGTTCTTTTGCTTTTGGAACTTCAGCTGGGAAATACATTGTACTTCGTTTCTTTATATTTTTGGATTAGGTTGTTTGGTTCTAGTCATTTAGAGGGATGAATGTGGGTCAGGTAAAAAAATGAACACTTGGACGGAATGTCAACGGTGTTATGAAATAAGGGAATTGAAAGAATTAGGTTAACACATGATGAAATTGACAAAAAAAAATACGTCAAAGTCACCAACTCAGTTAAAACATTGGGGCCATATTGACATTTTAGCCATACTAATTTTAGCAACAGAAACTGAATAAGGTAAAATCAAAGGACTATTCCAAAAGAACCAGAGATTTAGATTGATGCATAATATATAGTCTATGAAGTTTCCGAAAAGTTGAAAAAATTATTAATTTTAAACCTCCTAGATATTCAACTACTTAAGCACAACAGGTTACCACGAAACCTTTGAATATCATAGCCATAGTACTAGGTTTAACCCATTATGCTGCCATAGGTTTAGCACTTTAGCCCATCATACAGCCTAGGATATACCTATATAAGCATGTGTACCAGTATCAGAATATATACATTACAACATTACTAATATAGTCAATATACTCCTACTTTCTCTAGTTTCATATATTAGCTTCCAACTCACTAGCAGGTGGTGGCTATTTTCTGTCCTCCAGGTTTTCTGATACGCACCCAAAGAAATGGGTGGTTTAATCATGCAGAAATGGGAATCAATGCAAGAATGGAAATCAAGAAATCTGGACAACAAATCAGGCAAATCAAACAGCAAATGCACAGATCAGGGAAGGAGCTTAAATCATGGGATTCAACAGAAATAAATCAGCTCCACAATCATCTCCTTTTACTATTTTTATTCACCTTAGTACATTATAAATTGTAACTTCTACATTAGAGGGCATCCAATTATCTATTCTAAAACTTCCTTTTTCGCTATAGTAGCAGGGCAAGAACCTGAAATTCTTGCTGGAGGGTGACTTTGTGGCAGCCCTGCTCTTCCTTTCACATTTAATAAAATTATTCTCCTTATTTTCCAATTTCCTGCTTCTTTACTCTAACACTTTCAAACCCTCAGTGTTTCAACAAAACAAATCACAGAATATATCATTGAACATTTACAACATAACTTGAATGTATTTGTTATTATGAACTACAAAATATCAATCATCAGTGTATAATAAAAGAGCATTTTCAAAATAGTGAACAAATGACAATTATTAATAAGATATTAAAAGATTAAAATATGGAGGAAGAAAATAAAAATAGTAACTGCAGGTTTCATTGTTATGGAGTATGAGTAACAATGTCAATCTTAAAATAATGGGGTAACTCAACTTTATAAAACAATTTAAATGACCAGTATACCGTGAGAATGGTTACTTTTATTCTTTAGCCACTGGATATCATTTTTCTACGTTTTTATCACACAACAAGAACATCTAAAGCCAAAACCATAAGATTGTTTATGTTTCTATCACACAAAAAGAACATCTAAAGCCAAAAACATAAAATTGTTTATGCAATGACACTGATGAAAATTCAAGAAAAATCCAATAAAAAAGTAATGCAATTCACACCTTATTTTCTTCTCCATCAACTAATCCCTTCAGTACAAAACTAAGAGGCTCCTTGAAAATCAGTTGAACAATAGCAATCTGGAAGACAATTGATGCAGCATGTAATCAACAAATATTAATTAAGGAGATCCAAACAAGGGGAAAAATAGAGGAGACTGATTACTGACCTTCATAGCTCTAATGAAAGAAGTTAGTGTCCCATCTTGTCTTAAGAAATAATTCCTTAAGAAAGTTGCCACTGTGTGACCAATGCTGAAGCCAGCCCAATGTTTGATGAAAACAGCCTCAATGACTGCATCCAACCTCTCGGCTGGGGATTTCAACACAAATGTACATGGGGACAGATGCTCGAGTGCATGTGAAGAAAGTATGTTTCTAGGGGCATCAATATTTGTTGAAACACCGACAATTAAGATGGTCGGGATCTTAACTGCCCATTCACTGCGGGTAGAAGAGTGATAAGAACATACAGGCAAAATTGGCATGACATTTGTGAAAACCAACTAAACTATTCAATATTCATAGCAAGAAATAAACTATAAACAGATGTTAAGCAGTCCTTTAAGAAAATAAAGCAGTTTTGTCTACCTAAGCCAATGAACAACTAACATATTGCTCAAAACAGAAAAGTAGTGTGCCTACACTCTTCTGGATATCAGGGCAACATCAGGCATATTTCAAGGGATTTTCAATTTATTCAATTGCAAGTAGCCTATTTTGGTACTCACCCAAACTTTTGTGCATTCGATGGAATTGGAATTCATGTCCAAAATATGATTTATAGTTTCTTTGTCAGAATGAAACAAAAGGCAACTCCAAGATACATCAGAAGACATGAAATCTACAGATGAAATGTAATTTTGTCCAAGCTTTTTAAATAGATGTTTGATAGAGGTGTGTTGGAAACTAATTAGATATTTTACCTCAACAAGATGATGAAATCTGACAAGACAGTACCACAACACCTCTCCAGATCTTCAATAATCACAACTACTGGCTTTTCACAATTTCCATGCTTGCTATGCCATGATGCTAAGAGGGAAATATCTGCTGCCTTAAGAACCAAGAACAGTACAGACATGAGCACTAATGAACAGATTATATAAAGGCCCAACTTCATTTCAGATGTCTAATTGTCAACTTACATCAATGTCTACCAAAAGAAACTGCTGCAATAAACTTCTGAGACACCCTCCAATGCCATTTTTAGAACAGAAGTCCAAAGACGAAACAGTAGCCACATGGCATCCATGAGATGTCAAATGCAAACTGAGCTCTTCAAAAGTCAATATATCATCAACAATCTCCATATTTTCTGCAAGTCATTGCCAGATTACAATGATTAAAAAGTAATCATAAATAAGGATTTGCAAAAGAAAAATGTACAATATTCACAATAACAATAAAAAAAAAATTATTATTATTATACAACGGATGCTGCTGCATTGATAATAGTGGAGGAAAGTATAGGACTAACTGGTGAAAACCAGGCCAGTGGATAATCTTTGAGATATGGCCCCACTATTATTAAATAGAACTGGGTAAGAAAGACTGGTTTTGGCGGTAATCTCAGGGGTCCGGCTCGCTTGTATTGCATCAAAAGACTCAATAACCCAGTTTCTTATCTCATCAAAGGCATCAGCATTTATAGTCCTCAAGACGTCCTTGAAATCAATTCATTGAGAAAAAAAACACATAATATCAGGCAAGGGTCCGTTTTGAAAGGGGAACCTGAATGCAAATACTTAAAATAAGGATAAACCTTGATGTTGGACTCAATTTTTGACCATACGGAATGAAAAGCATCCATTTTTCGATGAATATCACTGCTTGTTTCAGATTCATTGGCTGCGGATTTGGTCTTCTTCTTCCCCCGAATCGACTTGGCAGTAGAACTTCGAGGCTGTGAAGCTTTATGGAGAACAAAGAATGGCTGTGTTCGTTTTGCATAACAGAGATAGATAAACGATTTTATAACCAAAATCAGAACCCGATCTTTACTGTTACAGAGAAAATCAAGAAGAATACCGACAACTGCAACTAAAGGTGCTACCTGGAGGTTGTTTTCTGAGGCCTCGGAGGCGGAGGTTTCCGGCGGAAGATTGTCAGCGCATGAAGACGAAGCCATTTCTGAGATCACGATGTGGCCACTCCAGCCTTACTAAACCTTGCTGGTACTGTCGCTCCCTCCTCATAACCGTGCTTTTTGGCGGGAAACACATACTTGTAGCATATGGGCCCCCGGACATACCGTCTTGAGCCCAAGCCCAGCGCATTGGATTGGGATCGTTACATGGCAAATTATGCTATGCGCACGTGCGCACCTTGCAAGGTGCGCACGGCGCTAAAACGGCGTCGTTTTCCGTGAAAACGACGCCTGTTTTAATTAAAAAAAAAATTATTCGAAACGTCGTTAACGGCGTTAACGGCATATTCGTTATGACATTATGAATATACAGTTATGACATTATGAATGTACAGTTATAGAATTATGAATGTATAGTTATGGAATTATGAACTTACAATTATGAACATAGAGCTTCGAAAATTATGAATGTTCGGTATGGAATTATGAATATACAGTATGGAATTATGAATGTACAGTTATGGAATTATGAAGGTACAGTTATGGAATTATGAATGTACAGTTATGAAATTATGAACATAGAACTCTGACATTATGAACTTACAATTATGAACATAGAGCTTCGAAAATTATGAATTTACAGTTATTGAATTATGAATGTACAGTTACATTATGAATGTACAGTTATAGAATTATGAATGTACAGTTATGGAATTATGAATGTACAGTTATGAAATTATGAACACAAAGCTGTGAATATATGCTCCTATAACGAAGCGGTCTGAAATTAAATTAAAAAAAAAAAAAAAAAAAAAAAAAAAAAAAAAAAAGGGAAGATAACGGTGCCTGACGGCACCGTTATCCGTGCGTATGAAGCACGCTGGGCACGAGCCCACAGCATAACTATCCTCGTTACATCGTGTACCGCAGTGCACATGCACCGCGGTCAAAACAACACCGTTTCTTTAAGTAAAGAAACGGTGCGCCGTTAATTTTAATGGAGCGCACATTTTTTTGTATCTTAATTATCAATTGACACTAAAGTATATCTAAACCGACACTGCCTCACATATTATTTTTATATTATCAAATGAAACTACACTTAGGGTCCGTTTGGAAAGCAGGAAAATAACTTCTGGAAAATGTTTTCCGGAAAATGAGTCATTTTCCAGAAAACATTTTCCTTTCCAGTGTTTGGTTGCATTCTGGAAAACTGTTTTTGTGTGTTTGGTTCATTTTCTGGAAAATGAGTGGAATTGTATAATTAAACATTTTAATTATTTTATTTAGAATATTATAACATGTCTAATAATATATAATAATATAATAATAATTTTAAATATAATAAAAAAATACGGAGTAACTAATAATATATCAAAAATATTATGGTGGTGGTGGTGTAGTGGTAGTGGTGTTATTTGTTATATAATAATAATAGTAATAGTTATAATAATAATAATAATAATAATAATTGGTGGTGGTATAACGGTGGTGGCAGTGGTAGTGGTGGTGGCGGTGGTATGGTGGTGGTGGTGGTGGCGGTGGTAGCGGTGGTATGGTCGTGGTGGTGGTGGCGGCGGCAGTGTGATGGTGGTGGTGTGGTGGTGGTGGCGGTGGTTGCGGTGACGGCGGCGGTAGCGGCGGTGTGATGGTGGTGGTGGTAGCGGTGGTATGGTGGTGGTGGTGGTGGCGGTGGTATGGTGGCGGCGACGGTGGTTGCAGTGGTATGGTGGTGGTGGCGACGGCGGCGATGGTGGTAGTGGTGGTGTGATGGTGGTGGCGGCGGCGGCGGTGGTAGTGGTGGTGGTGGCGGCGGCGACGGTGGTTGCGGTGGTGGCAGCGGTGGTGGTAGTGGTGGTGGTGTGGTGGCGGTGGTTGTGGTTGCGGTGGTATGATGGTGGTGGTGGTATGGTGTTGATGGTGTTGGTGGTGGTAGTGGTTGCGGTGGTATGGTGTTGGTGGTGGTAGTGGTGGTGGTGGTGTGGTGGCGGGTGTGGCGGCGACAGTAGTGGTGGTGTGGTGGCGGCGGCAGTAGTGGTGGTGATGGTGGTAGTGAGGTGGTGGTGGTATGGTGTTGATGATGTTGGTGGTGGTGTGATGTTGGTGTAAAAGTTGGAAAATGACTTCCCCCAAAAAAAAGGGGAAGTCATTTTCCTCCAAAATAAGCCTATTTTCCAAAGTCAACGGAAAATAATTTCCGTTGACTTGATTTTCCATGCACAACCAAACAATGGAAACTTGGAAAATGATTTCCAGAACTCATTTTCCAGGTTTCCAAACACACCCTTATATCAAAATGATATTGTAGTTGTGGTGAAATGAAAATGCGGTGTATATAAAATGAAACTAAATAATATTTCACATGTGTTGAGTGTATATTGTATAATGAAGCTGTAATTATATCAAAAGGATCATGTAGTTATGTTTTAATAAAATTATAGTGTATATAAAATAAAATTAAATAACATTTTCACATATTTGAGTCTATAAATATCGAATGAAACTGTAGTTGTATTAAAGTGAAACTGCAATGTATACAAAATGAAACTGAATAACAGAGTTACTTTTTGCGAAAGGGTGCGGAACGACGGGAAACAGATGCCGTTTCTTTTCATAAAACAAAACGACGTCGTTTGATGCGCGCGGTGCATAATCGATTATGCATCATGGTGCACGATATAATTTGCCATTGGATTGTTATGCTGTGTAACCGTGTGCACCATGCATGGTGCACACGGGTCTAGATTCATAATTTCTATACTGTAGATTCATAATTTCTATACTGTAGATTCATAAAATCTATACTATAGATTCATAATTTCTAAACCGTATATTCATAATTTAAATACAGTAGATTCATAATTTCTATACAGTAGATTCATATTTTCTATACTGCAGATTCATAATATCTGTACTGTAAATTCATAATTTCTTTACTGTAGATTCATAATTTCTAAACTGTATAGTTATCAAATTATAGACATATAGTTATGTGATTTGTGAATACAGAGTTCAACAACTGGAAATATGAACATAAAAAATTATGAACATATAACTCTATAATTATGAACATATATCTATAGAAATTATGAATCTACAGTATAGAAATTATGAATCTACAGTATAGAAATTATGAATCTAGACACGTGTGCACCATGCATGGTGCACACGGTTGCACAACATAATTTGCCCAGCGCATTCTTTCTCCGGCTAAAAATAGGGATGTCAATCTTCGCTTAAACTTGATCGGCTGGCCTAATAAAACTGAAACCGACGAATCGATGGCTCGAATGGGCTATCCCGATAAAAAAACATTAACTCAATGAACCTGAAATCGATAAGTTCGATGGCCCGATAGAGCTAGCCCGATAACTCAAACTATTACAAGTTATTATTATTATTATTATTATTATTATTATTTTTATTATAGAAGTGATATGAAACATAACATACACGGAGTTTATTGGTAAGTTCATCTTTAGTATTTCTTTATTACATTTTTAAATAAAATTTTAATAAATATATTACAAAAATAAATTAGTTTTATAATAATAATTAATAAATAATGAAAATTTAAAAACTTATTATAAATATTATATTATAGTGTAAGTATATATTAATTATTTTGAATTAGAATTTAGAAATGAAAGTTTAGATTAATTGAATGATGTATAAGTTTATATTTATTAGTGTAAATTAACTAATTTGAAATATAATTATAATTTATTTAACATTAATATAATTTATATGTAATGTATTTTTATTTTTACTTTATAACTAGTAGTTGCGCTCGTGCGATGCACGGCCATATTATTATGCCGATATGTATAAAAAATTGTTTTATTCATTATATGGTCAATAAGGTTATAGACGTCACAAATACACAAAATAAAATATTTCATTGTAAAATAATGAAACAACAATTACAAATTATTAAAGATTTCTTTATAAACTACATTTTGAGTCTTATTTAAAAGACCTCTAGACTCGCCACATATTAAGACCTTAAGACCATCTGGATTACTGACCCGAGAAACTGCAACATACAATTGTCCATGGTTAAAAACTGATTTTTTCAGTAACAAACCAACATGTGAAAGCGTTTGACCTTGACTTTTGTTGATCGTCATTGCATATGATAACATCAGTGGGAACTGCTTTCGTTGAAACTTGAATGGAAGTCTTGGGTCTGAAGGAGTCAAAGATAGTCTCGGTATCAAAACCTTTGTACCTGCGTTATTCCCAGCTATAATTTTTCCCTCGATAACATGATTTCCCAACTATGTTACTATTAACCTTGTACCATTGCACAACCCCATAGAGTGATCTATATTTCTCAACAGCATAACTGGAGTTCCAACTTTCAACGTTAGAGAGTGATTTGGTACACCCGAACACCTCAAGCTATTTAAAAATTCTGTTGTGTGTACTTGAGATTACATATCAAAGTTTGACTCTGCCTTGCAAACAGAATCACAACTCAAGTATGTCATTGAAGCAGCTTGATTAATACCATTCATGTATTCATTGACCTCATCAACTACATCTAAGGTTGGAGCTAATATAGCTCTATTCTCCAGTTGACTTTCATCCATGTTCCCAGTACGGTACTCCGAAAATGTGCTTTCAACAATTTGCCTAATAGGATCAACCTCGTTTTCTAATACAATTGAAGACGGTATCATTATATTGCAATCAACACCATTGTCTTCACCAAGATTACCATCACCTAAATCCGCAATCCATTTGGCAAAACTATCTAACTTTTGAACATCATCTTCATTAGTAAGACCTTGCAATCTTAAATTCTTGGTTAGACGCAGAACTTGACAATTATTCCACAGGTAAGATGAATTAATACTGGCTTGAACAATATCTTGTCTAGTACCTTTTGGGATAACGGGTAAAATTTGTCTAAAGTCTCCACCTAACACCACTGTTTTCTCGCCAAATGTCATTGATGAGCTCCTTGAGTTCTTGAAACGCATTAAATCTCTCATTGTTCGGTCCAATGCTTCAAAACAATGTTTGTGCATCATCGGAGCTTCATCCCAAATTATTAGTTTGCATTTGATTATCAATTCAGCAAGCGCACTGCCTTGCTTGATGTTGCAAGTGGAGTCCTCATTAACAGCAATTGGTATAGCAAACCTGGAATGTGCAGTCCTACCACCAGGCAGCAGCAACGAAGCTATACCGCTTGATGCTACATTTAGAACTATCTCGCCCTTGGACCGTACAGCTGCTGAAATAGTCTTCCACAAAAATGTTTTTCCTGTCCCACCATAACCATAAACGAAATACATTCCACCTTTCTCTGTTTCAACATCTGCCATCACCTTATTGTATATGACTAACTGTTCATCGGTTAGTTTCGGATGCAACGAATTATGTTGATGCAATAGAGCTTCCCTATCATATGACATCTCCTCGAACAACAACCTGTTACCGGAAAACAAATCGTTGTTTTCATCTGGCATTGGCATAGGTGGATAATCTGATAGAGATTTGTTCCAAGCATTCAACAACTTCTCCATTTCAATCAAAGCAATTTTTTTTTTTTTGAGATTCATTTAGACTTAAATCTACAATAGAAGAAGAAAGAAACGTAAGATGTAATGCTTTAAAGAATGAATATGAATAATTAATAATATAACAATAAATGTTACCTGAGACTGAGAGGTTCCTTCTACAAATATATTGAGCATCATCTGATAAGTATTGCCAAACCATCTCCCAAACATTTTCTGGCTTGGACATTGAATTGGATGTCAGAAGTGTAACAAACAACTTACGTAGCGAATGGGGTAAAAACCAAGATGCTGCCTCAGTGATTGCATCAACATACTCTTTATCATCTTTGATTAATCCGCGTGCATAACATGCATCTCTAAATGAATTGTATTGAACACCATCTACTTGTTTAATCTCATCAAATGAAGTCGGTCCACGAACTATATTAAGTAAACATCTAAGATAAAAAATCTCACCAGTATTTGGTGGCACATAAAAGATTCGACCAATTGCCCAATTTCTCTGCCTAGGTTGCCATTCTCTTTTATCATTTTTCCAAACAAATTTGGTTGGCATCTGTGAGTAAGTCAACTGCCTCCCTGCAGCGTACTTTTTATTAGCCTCAAACCAGGCAGTAAACATGCTTTGAGCTACTGTCGGTCTATTTACAACATCATTGACCAAATCGTCGTCATGGAATATTATTGATTGCTCATTGGGGAGATGAAAACTCAACCGCTCAACCGATGGATTCCTGAATTGTATGTCAAACGCAAAAATCCTCCACGCGGCCTCAGGGGGTGAAATATATCTACAGTTATAGTACATCTTGATTTCATCTATAATCTTTCCAGTAGATTCTTCCACCCCACAGTTGTAAAATTCAGCCGTGACCCTATCATTACCCTTGTTGACGTACTTGAATAAGTACTTTATTGACCTAGATTGGTTGCACCACTCCACATTAATATGAGCCCTGTACTTCATAAGCAAATGTCTATTGTGTGGAACAACATATCTACTAGCAAGGTCAATCTCATTCCTCCGAACTGTACGACCATTATCTCTATGCCGATATATTGGATATCCATCAAAATCCACTGTTGAGTTTTCCACAAATTTTTTGGGGAAGAATTTAGAACACATACCTTTTATCATGCAAGGTGAATTCTTCCTAACTGCACCACATGGACCGTGAATCATAAATTCTGCTATAGCTTGATAATACTCAGGTTCGCACAGTTGACTTGGAATCTCGGCAGATATGATCCGGTCAATATCTTTAGGATTAGGGTAAGGGTTACTCTTGCTCAAGAATATCAAAATGTGAGCATGTGGCAGTCCCCTTTTTTGAAATTCAATGGTGTAAATTACTGCAAGAAACAAACAATATGCACTTGGATCTTTAAAATCGTTGAAAAATTTAAAAGATATGTAACAACCAAAATTAATCAAATATATTGATGAAATGACATAAATTACCTGCATCTACCACTCCAAAAATTTTCTCTTTCTGAATGTCTTTAATTAGTGCATTTAATTTCATTTTAAACACACGGCATACTATATCTGGCCTATCTTCAGCTTTGAGTTTCCTTGGTTGTAAAAATCTTTCAATCTCGGGCCACTTAGGATTACATGTGAATGTAATAAATAGACTTGGATACCCAATCCATCTACAAATAGCCATTGCATCTTGGTAATTCTGCACCATATATCTTGCGCCTCCGGTAAAACTCGATGGCAAAATTATGCGTTTTCCTTGGGCAGTAGGATCTACTTCGCCACGTGTTAACGCATCTGTCAAACATTTGTATGATCCACATCGAAGTGACTTTTGATGAGACCTAATATAAACCAAGCGTCCTGATTCTATCATGGTATAAGCATCAACCAAATATTGTTGGAACAACCGCCTAGCATAAAGCAAAGTTGACATTTCATTGAACCTATCTTGCAAACGGAATGAGAAATACTCCCTGGGACTAAGTTTACTCCTTGCATTTGAACTCCTGCCTTCAAGAGTATTAAATTGTATGTCGTCTCTGTATCCGTCTTCACCATAAGGAAAGAGTAATGGGTACTGCAGTGGGAGATATGCCGGATTTAATTCAGTTATTCTTTGAAAATGTCCAACTTTGGACTCCACCAATATATCTCTTTCTCCCATGTTTGGGTCTAAATCACCAACAATCAATGCAGCCACCTCCCCAACCTGTGGCAAGTTATATGTCCTTGCATCCTTGGTCCTCTTACCGATGAGTTTGATTTTAATATCAGCTCTATGGTTACTTTCCATCTCTGTTTTGGCCATTCTAAAACTCTGAACCAAAACATTATTTTCATCCAGTGCATCTTTAATGTCTTTAACAATTTCACGATGGATTGTAATGTTTAACTCATCTTCCCTGTTTGGAATATAAAAACCCATACAATTTTATAATCTATATTGTTACAAAAATGATGTTAATCTATTTAAAATAAATAAACGTACATAACTCACCCAAGTGCAGTTATACAATTTGTGATCTCGTTTTGAGTGTCATAAATATACAATTGAGCAAACTTTGGTCTCTCGCCAGATTGTGGGAGCAAACTACCCATCAAGTGAAAATTTTGACCATGTAACCGAAAAGTCAGTGGTGCACTACCATTGTTGACCATTCTGTCAATTTTTCCACCCATGGAAGTAAAGCAAAACATATTGTTAAAGCACCGAATGTTCTTTAGGAAATGGTTACTCTTTTGACCTTGGTTAAAGAATAACTGCCTAATTGCCATAGGTGGAATATTAGGATGCGGCAACTTTATCTTTCCATGACCGCAACATAGTGAATATTTCGGATTCCGAACACCGCTAGATTTATTGACTCGCTCCTCTAACCAAAACATAGATCCATAATGATTGCATGAGTACGTTTGATCACCAATATCACTGTAATAATCTAGAAGAAAACAAATGTTATTACTCTTACCTAAACAAAAATAATAAAGGTTATTACTCGTACCTATACTCACCATTAACATTTGCCGAGTTTGACGGTGTATCATGGACCACACTATCAAAAGCGGACAACAAATTAAATTGCACTGACGCCTTTGGTGTTGAGCTATTGTCATCCACAACGCACGATCTTGTTGTTTGAACTATAAGATGATAAAAAACGTTATTATTCATAAACTAAACACTATACATTCATATTTTTAAAAAGGATTTACTTAATTGCGCAACTTTACCATTTGTTAGATTTGTCAAAGGCCCTCGCTTTTTGTTGGACACCATAGGGGTAGTTCCGAGCACGTTAGATTGCAATGTCATTGATTGAGTAATATTTTGTAAAACTATTAGGAAAAAAAATTAATTTTAATACACCAAAAAAAATCAAAAAATAATATAGTAATTATATATAGATATATAGCATTCAAAAAATATATAGATATATAATTTATAATAGAAATTTGACTATCAATACCTCCACTTTGTCCACCCAAAAAACGGCTATTATTAACATGTGTAATCTTCTCTCTATCACTTGCCAATTGTAGTGCAATTGAACACTCTAAACAAAGAATTTCAAAAAATCTAACATTAATCTCTATAATATAAATAAATAAAATAAAATTTATTATACCATAGTACCGACAATATTGATTAAAATAAAAAGACTAACCATCCATCACAGTTACTTTTGGTGTGTTGAATGTTGCATTTTCTGTACAATTAGATAATAAAATAAAGTATTACTAATAAATCTTACGAAATAATACAATGGTGTTGTATGTACTAATAAAAGACAATAAATCTATATTGCACCATATAGATTATCACATTAAATAAACAAATTTACCCCAAATAAACAAATGCTATATATGTAACATTCCTAAATTAAAATACAATAAACACCACAGCAAAGGTTCCTATATAAATAAGCGTATGTATAATTATGGCTGATTAACCATAACATCTCATACCATTGTATACGTTGAAAGGTTTTGTAGAAAGACCCCCACACTGTGTCCCAGTAAAACGCCTCTTATTTTGAGATGTTTCAGTAACAAATGTAAGCTGAGATCTATCATTTGACACTTCGACTGCGATTGAGCACTCTAAGCAAAAAAAGTACAAAAAGCTAACATTAATATCCCTATAATATAATATGAATATCACAATTAAATTTACTATAAAATAATACCTATATTGCAATTAGAAATAAAGGAGTTACCAGCAATCGTAGTTCGTTTCGGTGTGTTGAATGTTCCACTTTCCGTACAATCATTTTCTGTCATAAAAAAAATAAAGATTTTATAACCAATAAGATAAATAAGCATGAATATAATTTATGATTTATATTTAAATAATACAACGATTACATAAAATAAATAATTCGACTGAACAAAAAATAAAACATATATGTCGTTCCAAAATTTAAATACAATATATGAATCATAATAAACACCATATATAATACTAATTTAACAAAAATGAATAAAATAACCATATTAAAATAATTTATTCCACTTAAGTATATAGCTACTAATAATAGATAGGCATACTATATATTATACACATATATATACATGTTATCTACTGTGTATTATATATATATATATATGTTTATTTATTTAACCAAAAAAAAAATATATAAAGAAGTGTCCAGAAGTGAGACTTCTGGACACTACCCGATCCTAATTCACGCTGTCTACTTCCCTCTTCTCCCTACGATGTCTCACTCCGTCTATCTCTTTCTATCGCTCTCCATCTATCTCTGTAATCCAGACGTCTTAGGCATTAATGGCGTCTGAATTTTGTATCGCTCATTATACACGAAAGACATTCTTGATCCAATCGCAGACTATACTGCGATTTGCTTCGAGAGATAGATAGAAGAGGCCGATTTTAGGGAAACCCTAAATTTGTGTTTGGGGTTTTAAATCCTCTTTTATTTGAAGGAAGATCTACTAAGATGGTTGTTTGTTTGTACGGATACAATCTAGATGAACGCAGATCGGTATTATAGAGCCCAAAACCATACGAAGCAGTGTTATTTCACCACCGCGTGAACACTCAAGGTGGTTACTTCTAATGGATGTCAACAATCTGACGAAGGTAAGTAATTTTGGTACTCATTCTTACTTAATCTTTACTATCTTTGCTAAAATGTATATTTGTATAATTAGGGTTTGAACTTGACGAATTTAGCAACCGAGTGTTGTATGTTGCACTTGATTTATATTGATTTGCATTCTCTAACGTTTAACTTTCCTATAATTACCCAGAAAATTGTTTTTTGAATATAGGCATACTATAGTGTTATCCTTGCGCTCCTATGAAAATTTATGCTTTTTAAACACAAACAGATTTGTAAAAAATGTTTATACAGTTGATAATTGCAAGAAAGAAAAAAATCAAATTTCATAGGAGAAGGTTTATAGACAGAAAATAAGAAAGACGCAGAAGCTATGAGAATAATAGATGTTAAGATAAATGTTCAATGTACCTTTGTTTGAAATTGTGTCCTTCCTTTTGGACCCGATGACAGTTGATTTAGTTAACTTCCTCATTTGCTTGATTTGCTCAATGTTTGGAAAGTGTTTCTCTGTAAGTAGTGTGTTTAGTTGAGAATGAATTGTGTACTCTGCATTTAAATGTGATTATCTGATTGTAACTGAGTTTAAAACATAAAAACCCAATGAAATTCTCTAGAATTTTGCTGGAATTTATTAATGATTACTTCTTTTGGGAAGCAGAAAAGACACACCTTGAAAAGGTAGTATTTATTCCCATTCTTTATCCTGGCATATGTTGGTGTCAAAACTAATATTATGTTTTCTAGCTTTACAACATAACTGATTAAATTTAATTTTGATATCAACAGTCACCTAATTAGTATATGTGTATTTTGTTTCAAAATTTTAGATCCAGTACTGTTTTTGAATCCCAGTTTAATATGCTTATTATTTTCTGTTTTTGAAAATAGTTCACAATTCTGTTTGTCTTAATTTATTCAGATTCTAACATTTGTTTTCAAGGAAATGACACATGATGATAGTAATTTCTGATGCCATTACATTTCAGAGTTACGATATACCATATTACTATATTTGAAGTTTAATTTAAGGTGATCTATTGCATTCCACTACTGGCAAATACAACAAATGAAGGTGTCATGTTATACTTACTTACCTGGCGCACCGAGTCTTCAAGATTTCACAACTTTGGCTCAAAATTCCATTGGAAATGTATATTTATGTAAGCTATGTAATGTGTACACTATCTGACACGTAGCAAATAAATTAGATTTGCAACATTTACTATGTATTTCGCAATTTCATTATCAGCTAAATTGAGGTATACATATAGATCAACTACTGCAAATTGTTATCTGCTTAAGAATAAGCTATTTTTTAGCTTTTAAAAGTACTTGACTATTAAGCTGTAGTCCTTTATTGAAAGTACTTGACTATTAAGCTGTTTTTTATAACTATTAAAAGTACTTGACTATAGATTTATTTATAAAGTACAATTCTATTTTGATTGTTTACTATGTTTGTCTCAATATACAAAATCAAAATCATAGTTTTTGATTGAAATTGTATGTTCTAAGACTTTGTTTAGACTTAAGTATTTCTTTCCATGACTGTTTTGATTGGGAGAAATGTTTTGATAAATGAATGTTTGATTTGAAATTTTGTTGTAGTCCTTATTTGGAAGAAACATTATGGCTTTAATATAGAGAAAGAATAGGCATAAGAAAGTATATTTGTATTATTTACATACTTTGCTGATTTTGATTGAGAAGAATCTATATTTTAGCTATTAAAAGTACTTGACTATTAAGCTGTAGTCCTTTATTAAAAGTACTTGACTATTAAACTGTTTTTTATGACTATTAAAAGTACTTGAATATAGATTTTATTTAAAAGTACATGATTATTTTGATTGTTTACTATGTTTTTCTCAATATACTTGGACTTTAATTTAAGCTGTAGTCCGTTATTGAAATATTTATTACAATTATTCATTGAGAAGAACCTATTTTTTAGTTCTTAAAAGTACTTGACTATTAAGCTGTAGTCCTTTATTGAAAGTACTCGACTATTAAGCTGTTTTTTAGATATTTAAACTACTTAATGTTTATATATGATTAAGCCATGATATTTCAATTTGATATTCTTTATGTTTTGTATGATATTTTTGATTTGGTTAAAATTCAAATGTTTATTGACTTTGTATATGATCTATAAAGTAGTTTAGTATTTTAGAATGTCATGAAAAGAGTGTGTTGCCAAGTTTAGATGTTGACAAAACTGAACTCATGGAAAAAAATAGAACAGAACCAAAAAGGTGCCATTGAAGTAAAATAGGTGAGAAATGAAACAAATGATAATCATAGCTTTATTCTTCAGTTAAAAAACTTCAATAGTTGGATCAAAATACATAATGCAACTGATGAATGAACAAATTCCTCTATTTCAGGTGTATTGGAAGTTCAAGACCAAAACAATAGAGATACTATGCCTCACAGATAAGTCATTTTAAATTTCAGCCACTCATGTTTCTTGCAAATCTGTTTCTTGTGCCTGCCACTTGATATCTGCATGTTCATACCTGCAATGAGTTAGGAAATAGACAAACCACAGCATAAAAACATATAAAAACCATTGATAAGACTGTAAAAGAAAGCACTAATAGACAGTGCATAGTATCCTTGTCAATCCATCAACAATAAAACATAATATGTACTCAGTAGTACATATTATCAAAATCCATATTACAAAAACAAATGAGCACCCAAGTCACCAGTATCATATTGTCCATCATTGAACCACAAAACACAAACTTAATTTTACTCCTGTTTAACCAAAACAGCTTTTGCTTTCTTAACATCTCTACTTGATGAAAACTGATCAAGTAGATTCCTTTTTGATGACACTGCTTCCAATGGTTCATCTTGTTCATCCAGCTTTTGCTTCTTAGCTTGAATAGCATTGGGACTGCTTGCCTCATCACCCGATTCAGACTCCTGTTACAAATAAGAAAAAAAAAATTAGTTTTACCATGAAGTAGTTAGTTTATTGAATCAAGTGACCATTAATTAAATACTTACATCAGACTCGGCTTCTGGATCTTCTTCATTTAACATCCTTGATAGCTGATCTTGTTCATCACTTAAACAAGGACAGTAGTGATCAATTAAATCTTCATCGTGTGTTATTCCAACCACAGGTATCGCTATTGCTAGGTTCTTGAAGTGATCAATCTTAGCAGAAATCTTGAAGACCATAGCCTTATTACGGACTTCTTCCATACCGGTTGGCAGAGGAGACCCATCCTACAAAAAAACAAAAGTGTTTAGACAGCTTTCAAAGGTTAGAAAATTATTTCATAAAAAAAAACATTTAGAAAAATGTCTAGTAGCCCATTTTTTGACTCAAGGTTTAATAAAATACCACTGAGTATTTGCTCCTTAGGTCGAATGCAGTCTTTCCAATTATCTCGCAGCCCTCCTTGTCCCACAAAAGAAAAGGAGCATCCGTGGTCTTATCACCTACCCTCACAATGAGCCTGTACCTTAGGTTTCCCTCTTGCCAGCTTGTGCCACATTTTAGGCATTGCAAAGCCCCATTCTTCAAGTGCAATTTCCTGAAGCATCCCTCACTTCTACATGAATGGTAAAACCAATTGGTAGTACTCTCCACAGCAACAATCCTTCCAGGAACCCAGTAGTAGCCCTCCTGGTAGTTCAAATTAAATAAAATTGTTAAGTTAGGATTAAAAAAATCAAAATAGAATGTTAAGGTTAAAGTAAGTTACAATGTACCTCGGCTCTTTCATAAAGATCATCGATTGTAGTTACTATAATAGGAGTTTTTGAATTCTCAGCAGCATTGCCATGAGACATGTGAGACACAGTCTGTACACTTAGAGGTGGCCTGGTATCAACTTTCAAACTGCAAGGTAAAGAATTAAGATTAATTCATCATTGATCTAGGAAAGGTGATTAGAAATACAAATTATTTGGAATTACCTGTCTTTAAATTCCTGGACTTCCTTGCAAGGGTGATTAAACCATAGTTGTGTAGCGTTGTATGAGCTTGAAATCCTGAATTCATCTACATATTACAAACACAAATTTGATTAGAAATAATCAATACAGATGTTAAAGAATATCTTATCATGAACTTACTATCCACTTTCTTTGCTCGACAGAGTTGGAGTAAAACAATCAAAGGACCTTCCACATGAGTCTTGAAATAATGCATGGTTGTATCCACATGTTGATCCCAGGCAGTACACTTCAGACGATTGCCCCTAAAAATTAGTAAAACAGATTGTAAGTAGATAGAATATATTCTACTGATTAACTTTATATTGAGTTGATTGTTTAATGCTTTTTTATTATATAACAGTTCATTAAATGCAGGTGAAACTAAACTATAAGTTTGAGTGATATATAAAGAAGTCTGTAAGCAATATAGTCAGAAAATGACCAAGATAAGTATTTTTGAATAATATATGTTTTAGCTTAATCACTTCATATGCACAGTTTACTTTAGCATGATTTACTTTTAGGAATCTATTCCACAATCATAGAGTTGCTTACATACAGTCTTTATTTGAGATACAGGATGTACATTTATATTGAGTTGATTGTTGAAAATGGTTTGAGATGGGCAAAAATATACAGTGGGAGATCAGAAACTTGGGTTCATTAAAGGGATAATACAGATATGTAAGAGGTAAGCTAAAGCTAATTGCTTGTAAGTTAAAGCTCAATGATTGCCAGTTGAATTAGTTCCTTATTTGAGTTTTAAATTTTATTTGAATCTGCTTGATAGGCAATTTCCTATTTAATCACAGCTTGAATACATAATAGCATGATGTGAGATTGGCACAACTATACAGTGGTTGGAGTTTGGCAGAAATATATCTTGGGAGAGCAGAAAATTGGGTTCAATCAGTCCCAATCCTAATAACAATATGTAAGAGCTAAGTTAAATATAGTTTATTGAAACTTCAATTAGTTTCTGATTTCAGTTTTAAAATTTAATTGAAACTAATTGATAGCAGATTTCTTATTTCACCACAGATTGAATACATAAAAAATGGGTTGAGATTGCCACAACTATACAGTGGCGGCTCAGAAACTTGAATTCATCAAGTAATGTTACACATATGCAATAGGTAAGTGAAAGCTTATTGATTGTAAGTTTTAAGGTCTATGTTTATTGTATTGGTGACAAAAATATTTAACACACATGTCCATTTTCTAAGCATATTAGAATTAGGAAAAAAACTGTAAATCTTATGCAGTTTTATATGGAAATAAACTTAGAAAAGTAAGCATACTTACTGGCCATCTTCTATGAGAAAATCCACCAATTTGGAGGGAAATCCATCTATAAGAATCTCTTTGGGAGTGTAGTACTCCACCACTCTACCAATCACATCTAAAATGTGAATAGAACAAAACAAATTAAAATTAAAACATAGGATATATGATATATAATATAGAGAAAAGAGCAATTAGAAATCATACCAATTAGATGCTTTTCAGATACATTGCCACTCATTAAGTCAATATAAGACTTAATCCGAAACATTAGTAAGGGAAACCCCTTGCGCCTTTGCCTCTCAACAATAGTCTCATGACTAAATCTGATCATATAGCTATGATCAGTAGTTTTGTATTGGTAGTAGTGGGATATAACTGCAAAATCTTTGATGGCATAAACCTTCCCTTCTTTCAAAAGTTTAGAATACTTTTCAACACACTCTTTAGGGATGTTTCCATGAATGTATGTACCCCATCAACAAAGAACATATATATTGACTGTAAAATTTTACATTTTTTGCAGGCAGTTGAAATCGAAAGAGAACTTACCTCAGAATCATGAAAGACACATTCCTGACTCTTGATGCTATCCGAACTGTTGCGACTTTCGGGTACCGTATAGGTACGAGTCAACCGTAGCCTGATAGCTTCTTTGTAAGTAGACAATTTGATGTCTTTGCCTAGAATAAAAACAGGAGCCATTGCAGGTTTCGGCCAGAATTTTGAAAGCAATGAAGAAAAAGATGAATGGCCAAGTTAGACTGAAGAAAATAACAATGGTAGAAAACGCAAGAGAACAATGGTAGAAAGCAAACAACTAAATACCAAGACTTTATAGAAGGTGGTAGAGAAGTTTCAAATGAGCCGTGATTTCTCGGTTGCCTCCTAAATGAGACTGCACATTGGAAGAACAAACGACACTTGGGAAAATGCAATTACCCTTCATATATATATCCTGTATCCGTTATATGTAGATCATCATTGTATGTATTTGTATTTGTATCGTATTGTATTTCTTCTATTATTTATTCGTTTATAATGGTTGGAATTCAATTGTTGGCCGCCGCATTAATATAAAATGCGACTGACCACATTCCAAGATAATTGGGACTTTAAAAAATTGATTGTAATCATAGATTTATAGATATTTATTGATATAGATTACTTATTCTTCAATTAAGATACAAACTGAAATGATTTATTGTATTATTTAATTTTTTTTTCTGATACCGAGATTCAACCAAAACGACGTAGTATAGTTTGAGCGGGAAAATGGAGCCATTTCATTGGCCGAAATCTTATGGCTTTAATATATAGAGAGAAGAGATTATAATATTATTAAGTTATGAAGTTTTTACTATATAATTATATTAATATATTAATATTAATATAAAATTACAATTAAACATATTAACTAATACTTGCAAAAAATAATAACCATAATATGAGTATGTTATATATATAACATATATATGATGCATGTACAGAATTCTGATTAAATTACTAACGTTGTAGCTCTGTAGACGCATTCTAGGAGTATACTGGTATGCATACCTGAGTAATGAGCGTAGTTAAGTGTGTGCCTGGTCAGCTACAACATATGCATGTCAATACACAAAATGCACAAAATTCTATCCCAGGGGCCAGGGGCCAGAGGCCAGAGGTGCACAAAGTAGTGTTGCGTACGAATTCCATCACTAACAAACCCAAAGTAAGAGGGTATGATTCAGAAACTATTTAATGAAATTATTTGATTGACCGAAAAGTCAGCACATTCGGATTAAGGAACAAAGTCTAGTATAATTGTATAAACAACATGAGAGTCATCCATATGTATAAAAATAGAAGCTAAACCAAACTAACTAAAATAAATGGCCCTACACGCTAGATCTTTGTCGCGGCACACGCTCCACGAAACACTAGTCACAAACTGTTCGTAAAACCAAGGTGGAGGCTAGCTGCAAGTCTGCAACAACCATCTAGTGGAAATTGTCAGAGTGAAAGTTTTGGTCCTTCGAGTCATCGATCAATTGCATAAGCTCCAACACAGTAGCTACCAATGCTTCCGTCTTCACAGTAAAGCGGGTCAAAGAAAATCTGCACACGCAACATGTGAACATACTCATTGCTTCTATTGCTTCTCTAAGGGTTGGGCACCCAAATCCAACTAAAAAAGCTATTTAAAAAAATTGTAGGTAAATATTTATTTATTCATGGTTGAAATTAATTTGGGGATGAAGATCTCCATTTATGCGTGGAGCTTAATAAGGGGAAGAAGAAGGAATCATTCCAAATGGGATGAAGAATGAGAAATTACCATTCGGATCCTATTTTTAATAGTCAACTAGCAGAATTTGTAACAAATGACTAAATTGTGTAAAATCATCAAAGTCGAGGATTAAATTGAGCACAAAAAGTCATTTTGGACTAAATTGAGTAAACCCACTATAGTCGATGACTACATTAGGTATTAACTCTATAAAGTTATGTACCATACGAGTATGCATTATGTACCTCATCGTTTCGATTCAAGGTTCATAATGTTATGTGGACGCTGATCAATGATATAAATTGCTGGTAAAAACAATCATGGTCCACCTTACAATGACAGGCAAATTATTGCGTGGACCATGGTCCACTATGTGGACCAGGAATTCAATATACATTTTTAATATACTAAAAATACATTATTTGTGTACTGAATGTACATTGTTTGATAATATATAAAAAATCATGTACTTTCAAATAATGTACTTTATGTATACAAATAATGTACTTTTAGTATATTAAAATGTATTTTTTATTTATTGTTTACACAAATGTGTGGACCATGGTCCATGGAATAATGATTGACAATGACATTACATCCTCCCAATCGTTATGCTATGGACCCGTGTCCAGCATGCATGCTGGACACGGTAACGGTGCTGTTAGGCACCGTTCTCTTCCACTTTTTTTTTTTTTAAAAATTTCAGACCACTTTATTATAGGAGTATATGTTCATAATTTTATCACTATATGTTTATAATGTCAGAACTCTGTGTTCATAATTGCATAACTGTACATTCATAATTGCATAACTGTACATTCATAATTCCGTAACTGTACATTCATAATTCAATAACTGTAAATTCATAATTTTCGAAACTCTATATTCACAATTTTAGAGCTCTATGTTCATAATTTTATCACTATATATTCATAATTGTAACTTCATAATGTCAGAGCTCTGTGTTCATAATTCCATAACTTACATTCATAATTGCATACTTGTACATTCATAATTGCATAACTGTACATCATGGTTGCAATAGGCGCTAGGCGCTAGTCGGGCGGTAGAGTAGCGCCTAGCGCCTAGACGGCCTAGGCGGGGCCTAAGCGGTTGATTGCTGTAATTTGGGGCAAACAAATAATACCCGGAGTATTCGGGTTGTCGAACCACAGAGAGGTGGTGTACTAATCACTAGCTACTAGGTTACTCATATGAAACTAGTCCGAACAAAACTTGAAGGTTGATTGATTGCATAAAATAACAAGCAGAATAAAATAAGTAGCAAGGTTTTGTAGACAATAGAGCAAAATAGGATTCTTGGGATCACAATGTTTAATCACCTAGTGCCAATTAACGTTTGTAATATTTGGTTTGGAATTAAGATTTGTATGGGAATGCAAAGTGGAATCGAATTACTCCCGTAATCTCTATTCCTAGTGAATTTCCACTCCCATGGCTTAAACACCCAATAAGATCAAAGATCAGTATTCAATTATTCCTAATTACTACCATCTCCCGATGAGCAATAATCTAGAATAAACTTCCCCTAATAAGTTCCCCTTTCCCAAGGACCAACCATTAGGTGCAATCGTGTGTGCCCTAATTTATGCCCCAACTCCCATTGGTGACACAAACATGACTGTGAAGCTAGTAATTTAGGCCTTTAACTACCAACAACTGATTAAAACAAGATTGCAACACAAATCATAAAACCAAACATAAATATATTAAGAAATTAACGAACTAGGCACATAGGTTCATAAACGAATTCACCCAAAAATCCCTAAAGAATTTAGCCGAGCATGGCTAAATTATACATAGCAAATATGAATAAAGGATTACAAATCATCAGAAGAGTACAAGAATTAACCAAGCGATTCTCCCAAATCTCCCTAGCTTCCTCCTTGCTTCCAAAGACGACTTGAGCCTCTTGATTTCTCTCTTTCTTGTCTACAAAGAACTCTAAAAATCTCTCGGTATCTTCTTAGGGTTGAGGAAGGAGGAATTTTATAGTGGGTACAAAGTTGAGATGAATTAGGAATCTTGTACAAGATTGGACTCAAATTATAATTCCTATAAATTAAATAAGAAATTGCCATCCCACTTAATTGGAATATTTTCTAATTTTTTTGATTATGGGAACTTAAATAAAGCTTTGGAAATTGAAATAGCTTTGGAAATTGAAATTGAATTGTGAATTGGGGTACATTGCAGCCAACTTCACGTCTGCGACTTCACGCCTCGCTCGACGCGTCGAGACCTGATGGTCTCGACTTCTGATGCTACTGGAAATTTTCGACGCGTCGAGCCTTTGGTTCGACGCGTCGAGTCCTCTGGGCCCCGAACTTGTCCAAAATTGCTCAAAACTCATCCTTGAACTTCCCTTGCTCATATCTTTGACCTAAAATGGTTCAAAAACACTAACAAACACCGTAAAACATTCAAAACAAGTGTGAACCATAATTAAATGATAATAGCAAGGAAAATATGTATTAAATAAGCAAAATTAAAGAACTTAAATACTGAGATGATTCAAAATAACTATAATAACAAGCAAAGATGTCATAACATCACCCCCTCACACTTAAGCTTTTGCTTGTCCCCAAGCAAAATTAAGGAATAAAATCACAAGTCAAAACATACAAATTACTCATGCTCTCTCTTGCACAACCTTTCAAACCACCAACCCACTTGCTACAAAACAACAAGCTTCAAGAATCAAATTAGTTTGGCACATAAGAGACCCATTTCCAATCCAATAACCAAGCACCATGAATTTAAAGTGTGTGAGGATCAATTGTGTACAAGTACTCAGTTGAGATTATGCAAGACACGGCTCATGAATGAGATCCCTTAGGCTTGCTTTTCATACTCCCCTAGATCAAATCTAAGAATGCATGCTAAGATCAAATAGGACTTTATTTAGCTTGTAATGGGGCTACGGGTGATGGCTAACAAAGAAGTGGTATGGAAAAATTAATCAAAAAGAGAGAATGTCACAATTTATCTGAACTTTTCAAAATTTGGAAGAGATGAGATAATCATAATTCCAAGGAGCAAATTTCTTTTAAGAACTTAGCAACTCTTTGGTAAAGTGGGGATCCAAACTCAAAAACTTTCAAATTTTCTCTTTTTTTTTTTTTTTTTTTTTCTTTGTCTTTGGACTTCTTTTGGATATAGCAAGATAATTTTAATCCAAACTTTCATGACCTCCACACTTGAGCATTTGTAACACTGGCTGCTTTTTTTTTGTAGCACAACTCCATAAAAACTCTTCTTACAGAAAAGATAAAGATAAAAGTTTCATTCTCTCAAGGGT